AACCTGCTGTGTATGAATAAGAAGACGAGCAGAGTAAAGAGTAAGTTTGTTCGAAACGTGTCTCTCGTTCATGTTTTAAGTAACATAATATGACATGGTGTCAGAAGATAAAAAATTAAGATGGAACAGTTAAAACCTCCGAGTAGTTTGAGCTTCGATGGTAATCTGGCAGAAAACTGGCGAACTTGGATTCAAAAGTTTGAACTCTGTCTCATCGCGACTGGCATTGAGGAGAAGAGTGAGAAGGTGAAATGTGCGACATTCCTTCATGTTGCTGGAGACGAAGCACTAAAGGTATTTAATACCATGAACTTTGATGAAGACGTGGATGGTTTTAGTGGACTGATAGACATGTTCAGAGACTACTGTGAGCCACGGAAGAACATCACATACTTGAGACACGTGTTCTTTACCCGAGTCCAAGGACCGAATGAAACTATTGATGCTTATGTGACGGACCTCAAGAACAAAGCAAAGGATTGTGAGTTTGCACAGCTAACAGATGAACTAATCAAGGATCGTGTTGTCTGTGGAATAACTAACGATGCTGTGAGAGCAAGGTTGCTCAGGGAGACGGATTTAGACCTAACGAGGGCTGTGGGAATCTGCCGAGCGAGCGAGATAACACAAAGTCACATGAAAGCACTGCACGAGGAAGCAGATGTTGCTGTGAATAAAATAAAAGTCACCAAAGTGAAAAGAGTGAGTAACAAGCAGTCTGACACAGACAAAGAGAAAGGCGAATGCAAGACATGTGGCTCCATGCACGAGCCAAAGAAATGTCCAGCATATGGAAAAATATGCAACCAGTGCAAATTAAAGAACCACTTCAGCCGCATGTGTAAGTCACAAAAACAACAGTTTAAATACAGGAAAACTGAGAAAAAAGTGCATGAAATAGAACAACAAGAAGATGATGATGTAATGTTTATGGGATGTATTGACATAATACCAAGTGAGCAAACAGGTGCAGAGCTACAACTGAATGCAGTCTCAACAGTGAACAGTGAGAAATGGACACAACAGCTCAAAATAAACAACAGTGTGTTAACTGTAAAGCTTGATACAGGAGCAGAGTGCAACGTGCTGTCACAGAGAGACTTTGACAAAATCACAAATGAGAACGCATTGCTACAAAAGTCAGGATGTGAGCTAGTCACGTATTCTGGTCACATGATCGCGACAAAGGGCAAGGCAAAGCTTAAATGTGAATTCAAAGACAATGAATACGAATTAGAATTCCAAATAATTGAGAGAGATTCACCTGCTATCCTTGGAAGAGAATCCTGCACAAAGTTAGGATTAATCAAAAGAGTGTACAGTGTACATGACAAAGACAACAGTGACATTCTGAGTGAATATAAGGATGTGTTCACTGGGCTAGGGTGCGTACCAGGACTGCACCACATTCAGCTCAATCCAGACATCAACCCTGTCATCCACCCACCAAGGAAAGTGCCAATAGCATTAAAGGACAAAATAAAAGCAGAACTGGATAGAATGGAGGATCTGGGAGTCATAGCAAAGCAGACTGAGCCCACAGACTGGGTGAACAGCATG